GTGGGAGGTTGCACAGTCTGCAGGAGCTGCGAGGGCGCTGCCTGTCTGCACGAAAACGTGACAGGCTGCGCGCGTGGGAGAGGCTTTTCGCAGGGACGGGGAAGCTGTTTGCCTAAACAGGACGGTCGGCATGGGAGATGCAGAAGCTGTGCACAAATCTTGGCAAATCCTGGACCGAATGCTAAAGCTGTCCCATGTTTGTGTTGCTTTGCAGGTTTTCACTCAGATCTCTTGCATTAGGTGAGGGTTTTGCAGGGGCAGGTTTCTGTTGGCTGTTTCCTTATTTGTGACACATTGCAAATCTCCAGGGGGATAATTAAAAAATATATATTGAACTAACTCCTGCTACTGCCTGCTATTGCACTGGAGGCATTAAATTTAATCTATCCTTTTTGCATTAAAATAAATAGCATGTACTCCTTGTGCAGGCTTCTTCGCAGCTAGCTGAACAGAATTGTTTGACTAAGAATCTCAATTTTTTCAGCACCCTTTACAGCAACTTCAATATTTACCTTTTGCATGTGGATTTAAGCAATATTGTCATGTAGATTGGGAGTGGGACTTGTAGCTAGCATCCTACGTGCTGTTCTTGATTCTGCCCCAGTGCGTTATACAATCTGAGACATTATCTGAGCTCTGTTTTGTTCTTCATCTTAGTAAAATGTGGATCACGATTCTTTCCCTGTTTCATAAATGCTAGGGGACCCTAATTAGCAAGTTGGAGAAGGAAGGTTGGCGAGCTCTAGCTCAGAAAGACAGGCACTCACTAGCCGGCTCCATTTGACTTAAATGTAAAAATTGTTCCTGGAATCTGTCCGCTGTAGCTGAAAGTGACGGAACTTAAAGGAGAAAGCAGCAATTTGAGTTGCTGGCAGCAGGGTTTAGTGAGAAGCGGTTCTTGTCGCTCCGATTTGACGGAGCTCCTGCAGGGAACTGACTGCGCTCTTGTGGGTAAGGCTGAGAGGTACCTCAGCTAGGACCCCTCAACACTGCAAAATACTCTTGCAAAATAATTACAAAATAATGTGCAAATAATTACAAAATAACAAAAGTAATTGTAAGCTAGGATTAAGGCGGAGGAATGGATGATTTACTGCCATTTATTATAATTTTCTGCGTGGCTTAACTTTGCCAAGGTTTGAGATGTCAGGGTCTTTCCAGAATCTTTTCTGTGGCTTATGTCAGAGAGAAATGTATGCAGCCGGTCCCAAAGGAGATGAGGAATGTGCAGAATTTAAACTTATCTTGCTAAATATAGGTGGCGTAGCAGATGAGCTGAGGAAAGCGCAGGACTGCGGGAGGCTCTCGACAGATGGGCTGAAGAGCAGAGTTTAATGTTACTACAGAATGCGAGGGCATGAACTTGGCATGTGAAATGGTATAAATATGTGCATACTTGATGGAAAACTGTATTTAAAGAAACAGAGTAATGATGGGTTAGTAAATATCAAGGCAAAATATTTTAAAGGAATGGAGACAAGGAAGATCCTTTTAATGTGTGAAAGAATGATTGGAATGATTTAAAATTTTCTTCTTTAAATCAAACAAGCTTTTAACCAGACGTACCAGAGTAGTCATAGCTAAAATTGTAAAGCCTAAGTTCCTTCAATAAGTTCTATAGGTTAGTTCATTAATGATTTTTCATCCCAGAAAATAGGCATAGACAGAATGCAGTATCTCATTTGAAGCTCTTTTAAGGTCTGGAATTACAATTCTTGCAAGAAGAAAGATCGTAAAAATCTGAGAATATTGTAGTATAAAGGAGGTGACATGCATTCTGTGTTCCCCTGAAGAAAGGTTGACATGTTTTTATGTACCCCTGCAAATGGAAGTAGCTGATGATGGTGCAAGCCAAATCTTAGAGCCGTTAAAGCAAAACACGCTGATGCCGGGTTCTGCTTTTCTCTGTGCGTCGTGAAAGCAATGCAAATATCATATCACATCCACATATTTGGAGACAAGGCACGGTGTCTGCTGGCAGTTGGGGCATGAGAACTGGCTCTGTGTGTTACTTGGAGGTGAGAGCTGGTCAGAAACGGACGGCTGAAGTGAGCACGCTGCTCGTGCCGCTGCCGCGACGGCGACCTGCAAGGGGGTTTCTGCAACGCTTGCTTTCGCCCCTTCATGCTGAAGGCGCTGAGTCTTATTTTCTAAGAGTTATCTTGCTTATAATTTCTTATTTCCACGGGTAATTGGGTGAGTTGAGGTGTTCAGTAAGTGTGTTTTGTTCAAAGTATCTTGAAATCTCTTTATCCCCTAATACTGTCATTTTCAGTACCTTGTTTTTTTGTGCCATTACAACTCAGTTGTTCTGCAGTCACTGTGCTCTGCTGAAGTGAGACGTAACTTCCATCAGAGGCGCAGAATATATTTAAGGCCTCGTTATACCACAGATAACGCCCCATTCTTTTCCCTCTTTGTGTGTTATCTCTGCACTTCTGTAAACCTTGCGTCCTAATCCTTTCCTTCCCAGGAAGGAAAGCACGTGTAAACTGCGCTGAGCTGAGCCCTGTGTACTCGAGGCTTCTTACCTAGTAATGGGAAAGAGCAGAGCCAAATCCACCCAAGGGGAAGCTTGGAGAGCTGTGCTACTGCAACGCTTTCCAGCTAATCTGGGAGCCCTCTTTTTAAAAGGCTATAGGGGGTAGTTGCAAACCTCGACTGCCTTTAGCAGGAACAGCAGCTGCTTTGTTTTGGAGGCTAAAATTAGAAGAAAAAGAAGAGGGGAAAAAAGGACTCTGGAAGCTCTATTCCAGCATTTGAGTTTGTGTGCTTCTTTTCTTCTTTGTGTTCTTCTTCAGCGTGTAGAAAATCTGTTTTTAAAGGCTGTCTTGCAGGTTAAAATTTGATCTAGCGGTAATGTCTTGTGACTGGCAGGAGAACTTGGTTCTTTTTATTGGAGTTAGTTGAGGGACTGATCTGAAAGCAGGTGGGAGCATCAGTGGAAAAGTGTTATGAGGTTGTCTCTTTTGTGGAGAAAAATAGCTCATAGTGATTTTAGAAAGTAAAGAGTATTACAAGTCACTATGAGTAGTGTTGCGGAGGGTATTATGGTGAAGCTGTTAGCTTGGTCAAATTGCTAGCAGTGCTGCAAAGAGGGAGGATGGTATCAGCACTCTCAAGAGGTCCATAGGCTCCCTTCACTTCGCTTTTGCTACCAGGGCTCCGGTGATTGCCTGTGGGATCTTTTTCCCTCTGGGGGATCCAGTGTCCGCTGGTGGAATCTTTTCCCCTCTCACAGTGAGGTTTTGCAGTAGGATTTCAGCAGATAAGTTTTGCTCGTTTGTGCCCTAGTTGCAATTTAAGAGCTTTTTCCATCTCACATGTCCCTAGTTTCTCCTGGAGTTATTTTAGTGCCGTTGAAAGAGGCCTGGAAAAGCAGCGTGCGCTCGGAGGAGGCAGGAACGCCCTGGCGCTGCGGCGATAGGATAGGGCGGGCGGCCCCGCTCCCGCTTTGCTGCCAGGGAAGGCGGAGGGAGCCAGGGAACAGCTCCGTAACAGGCCGAGGAAGTGAGTCACCTCTCCGCTCCCCCATGACTCCCCCAGCGCCCGGCCAGGCTTGGCCGCCCCGCTGCGAGTTGCATAAGTTTGAACCCGCTGCCTTTTCTTCCTCCTCCTCCTCCTCCTCCTGGTGCTTCCAGCCCCGGACTGAAGCCCGCACTGCAGCCGCGTCTGGCTGCGGGAATCCCGGGGTGCAGGACCCTGCTGCACTTTAATAGCTCCTCATTTTATAAAGAGCTAAAAGGTTTTACAGGAATGCATGTGTTGGCTTTAAAGGCTTACCTGCCCCACGCGGACTTGTGCAATCCTATATGAAATGGCCTCGTTTGTGCTTGGGAATTCCCTGTTGCACCTATAGTGCAAAGGGGAAGGCTGCTGCCTTTCTGTGTAAAAGGAGGAGAGATTTCTTTTGAGTTTGATTCCTAAGCTGAATATTTATTTCTGAAGCACTTTGTGACTCTGGAATGAAGTGTTCTATTTTAGTAATAGATGTTAGTGAGTCTGCAAATATGCCTTCACTTTGTTAAAGAGGGAAAATGTTTCCCTTGTCAAACCTTTGGGTCTGCACCTACAACGCATGCTCTATGTGCAGGTCCTCCCATAGGTCTCATAGCTCTAGTTCCCCTGAGGTGGCGGAGGGCTCTAAACTTTGGTTATGCCAAATTCCCAAAGGGGCACACTGCAGGAAGTGTTGCTCTGAAGCTGCAGAGGTGACCTGCCCCCTTCAAGAGAAGCTTCACTTTAAGGGATGAAATAATAAACAGATTTTTAACAATCTTTTAATATCTTTCTGAAATACCTTGGCACAATGTGACTGAGAGCCGAGCAGGGTGTGTATTGAAGACAGGTAGCAGTAGAGGCTTGTGCCTTATCCTTGTGGTTTTGATATTTTAAGAGGTTGCCCGTGGATGCACAGTTGGGCAGCAGCCGTAATGGTGGGGCGAAATGAGGAGGAAAAGCTGCTGCCCACCCCTGTCCTCCAAAATGTTGCGTGCAGCCTCTTCCTGCAGGCTGGGCTGCAGCCTTGGTGGTCGTGTGTGTGTTCTAGATGTCCCCGGGAGACGTGGCATGGCACGATTTGTCTTCTTGGTGAGTCGTGAGGGTTTTTTTGTTGTTGTTTTGTGTTTGGGTAAAAAACAGATTATTCTGGCTACGCAGAAATAGCAAGATGCAGAAATAATTGCCAGATGAGAGAGAGAGTTTAGGAGGAAAGCCTTCAGAGTGAGCCTGGGTGATTAGTCAGAAGTCTGTGTGTGATTGTGGTTTACGTTGTGCAAATACAGTCTGATATCTGTTCTCTAAAAGCAAGACATTTTATGTTCTCCTAGCAGGTCAAACCTATCTTTTTTCCTTGTCTGTGTAATTCTGATCTTCATTTCCAAGGGAAATGGGGGAGGACTGCTTGTTATTGCTTACTGAGTGGAGGTGTTTGTGCCAGGGATGTCTGCTGCTGACTCACGGCAATTGCTTCTCTATTTCAGGCCCTTTAGCTGAGTGGACCCTACTGACCTCTGAACCACAAAGGATAAGAGTGAAAACAAGTAGGAGAAGCACGCGAAGAAAAAGGAAGTGGATGCACTTTCATCCGGCCGTCTTTCCTACCCTTTCTTACTAAATCTGGATGGAAAAGAGAGACTTCTGTGCCTTTCCTCCCCCCACCTCAGGGATGGGTGGACTGTGAGTACGGTTTGTGCAGCTGGAAGGACAGCCTGAACCATGAACCTTCAGGCTCAGCAAAAGTCCTCAAGCAAAAGAGCTGGGAAAAGAATTGCCTATTTTAATGAGCAGGAAATAGCTGTGTCATCAAAAGAACCACAGCAGCAACTTAAGGAAGGACAGTATTATGGGCATGGAGGGAATATACCGGTCTCCCAGACTATGGAGATTTCTCATGCAGGGGGATTAACAAGTGGCCCCAACAACGTTGCTTTGATGAACTCTGTTTACAATCAGGATCGAGGAGAATCGATGATGATGCCGCAGCAAGTGACAGCGGTCAAGTGGCAGAATCCACTCATGGGAAACCGGTTGCCAGAGAGGGGTGACTCTCACTGGCAGTCTCCTCCTGCAATGTGGAACCACGGTATGGTTTTTGGGGGCAACCCAAAAGGGGCCCATTCCAACGCTGGTGCTCCTGGCTTCTATGGCCACCCAGAAGCCCTTAAAAGAAACCAAGAGAAAGGAGTGTTTGTGTCACAGCTGGACCTGTATGAAGATGCTGTGCAGCAGATGATGTCTCAGAAGGCTCAGCTGGAACAGCAAGCCCTGGTTAGGCAGCAGGCCCAGATGAATTCTTTCCACCAGATGCAGAAACAGCAGCAGCAGAATCAGAGTCTGCCACTACAGCCTTTCCAGCTTGCATTCGGTCACCAAGGCCAGAAACAAGGTCTTCCGGAATTGTTACATGTCTTTCAAGAAGCCCCGGCTTCTTCCAATCCAGCATTTACTGCTCCACAAAAACAGCAAGCTCTTCCCCAGCTACAGCTGTTTGAAAATTTCTATCCCCAGCAGCAGCAGCAGCAGCAACAGGCTGCCACCCAAGCCTACAGCCTCCAGCAAGCTACTTCCATCGCGCAGCCTCATGTGGCGGCCGCAGCACCGCAGCATCACATGATGGCACACCAGTTCCAGCAAGCCGAGAGGAACCAGGAATTGCTCAAGGCTCTAACAGAGCAGAACCAACAGACTGTGCTACCTCAGACCCAGATTCCCTTTCCAAGGAGGTCACGGAGACGCTCCAAAGAAGGTGTCCTCCTGACCTCCCTGGGAGAAGGGCTGGCTTCCAAGCAGGCAGAAGAACAATCCAGCAATTTATTTTTGCACCACTGGCAAACGCATCAGCAAGAAGTCCCGTTGCAGCAGCCCCCTGACACGCTGGCCCCCAGCAAAAGCAGCTATTTGCACCCCAGGAGGCTGGACATGGGGCAGAAGGAGAGCTCGGCGAGCAGCGAGCTGCAGCTGCACCAGGCAGAGGGGGACAGGCAAGGTGCAGCCCAGAACGGGAGAGATGGGGAGAAGGCGACAGCGGCGGCTGAGGAAAACGCTCCGAGAGCTAATGACTTCGTGGGGGTCCGAGGGGGGGTCATCCAGAGCACACGAAGGAGACGGCGTGTGTCTCAAGAAGCCAACCTGCTAACTTTGGCCCAAAAAGCTGTTGAGCTGGCTTCTCTTCAGAATGTCAAGGTAAGATGTCCATCCTAACCAGAATAGCATGAGGAACAGCTTCTACTACCCAGTAGTGTTGCAATGCAGTGGATTTATGCATGTGTGCATGCAGGCAGGTAAGGAGGGTATCCTGATGAAAAGGGTGCTGTGCTGCAGCAGAGGCAGCTCTGGAGCGGTGAGATACCAGCTCAACTGCTGCAGTGTTGGAGAACAGAGATCTCTTAGTGCAGTGGAACAGCCCAAGGGCAGTGGCTTTTACTTTACTAACACACAATGAGATTTAGCCTAGGACTTCCAAATATGGGTATTTCCTCCTTAGGCCTCCAGCTGATCAGGAATTTAGAATGACAAGTAAAATCTGTTCACTTGATGTCTTTTGGCCTGTTTAATGTTCTCCTCCTTTTATGTTAAAGACTGCTTATGTGCCACTTTTTCAGCTTTAGAGGTTGAAATGTTTCAAAATTGTGCTGTCTTAGAAACATGGCATAATGTACTTCAGCCATATTACCCACATGCTAAAAGCTCAAGGAAGCCAAAACATGCAGCTTCTGTAGAACTTGACGAAGAAGGCTGGCCCTGGCTGAGTTGGCACTCAGTGCAACAAGTGCATTACTTGTTGATCTTTTTTGTGTCCCATCACTACAAACCATGCAGGATGTATGCTATGTGGCATGATGAGAAAATAAAACATTCAAGTTGCTCAGCATAGGGGAGACCTATGGTTGGTTGGTTTGTTTGGGTTATGGTTTGGCTAGTCTTTGGGTGCCTCCCATGCGAAGTAAAGAGATGCTTTTCCTTGGAAGCTTTGTTGCTAGAGGGTGATAAAATATGGTTGTTAGAACATGAGCTACTTTTACCTACAGTATTTGGCCTCTTCAGTGAGCAAATGAGAGTCAGAGAATGAGAGGAAAGGATATTTTTCCATCTTTTTTAACTCCTCGGTCTTTTTTTTTTTTTTTTTTGCCCCAGTCTGCCTGGATGTTTTTCTAATCTCTTCCTTAGAGGATTGTGCTTCTTGTCTAGAAGACCTGAACTAATAGAGAGTGGGACAAGTGCTCACGATCTACTCCATCCCCTGCACTGAAACAGCAAGCAGCGACTCTGGATACTGTCTTCAGCCCTTTTGCTCTAACTCTCATTAAGCAAGCTGTCTACCAGTGGATGTGATAGCAAACTGGGAAGTAATTAGCGGTGTGAACTATTTCCTCCTAATCACCAACAGTGATAAGAGGAAGCTAAAAATCATCTAGGAAAAGGGCCTGACAGTTGAAACGATAAATTGCTCGTGTGAAGGCATGTCTGCTGGCACCTTCTTTCATAATATGAGGACAAAACAGAGAAATATTTTTGACAGATGCTCATTTGTTCTTTGCAGTTATGTGAACAGATTGTTTGCTTCCATGATGGCACCAGCAGAACTCTTTATATTCAGATCTCTTCAGGCTCTCAGGATGAGGGTTTTTTTTAAAGAGATTAAAATTCTTATGCTGGGTCTGACAGACCTTGCCTCATTAAGAGGGCTGGATATCGTGTGAGAGAGAAACAGAAAATGTGTTTACAGGAGAGTGATCTGCCTCTCTTATTAGTGACTTTTCCCATATTAACAGCACAGAACCTTTCTAGCAAAGGTGACGTGAGGAATATACAAGCAAGTCAAATATTTAGGTATTTAAATATCACTTTATGCAGTGAGGCTTTTTGGGCAAGCGTGAAGGGAGATGAAAGTTGTAGTTACCCTTCCACTTGCACAGAGAAGCGTTACCCTTGGGCAGGGTATGTATTCCCAGCCCTACAGCCCTCTTTTTCTGCACCTTATCTTCATTGCACCTGTATCCAACTCTGTGTAAATGCTGCGATATTGCTTCCTAGATGCATGCTGTTCCTGCCCATTTTTCACTCTTATTCTCCCCTCCTCCCACCCTCAAACTGTTTCCACAGTGACAGGAAGACAAAGATGCTGAAAACTCCCAGGCAAATGGATGAGGTTGACCAGAGATTAAAGACATGAGAATTTAAGAGCAGAAGTGCAGGCTTTTGTCTTGCTGATCAGCATTGTCCAAAATGAACAACAACCACCACAAAATCCTCTGGGATAACAGGGGTTAGAAATACTTTAAAGGAGTATAAAGGACTTTCCCTGTGACTAGAAGTCCTTCCCTGTTGCTTCGCCAGTGAAGCAAAGAAGAAAAGAAGTCCTTTTTCTCAAAGGCTTTAGTCATATATGTCCCTCGCCTGCATGTCCCGTGATCAGTCTCAGGTCAAAGAGATTGTTACTCAGTTCACCAAACCAGGACACTTTGCTTCCGTGCAGTCATGTTTTCCGCCAGAAGAAATTGTGGCTTTCACAAGATCCCACTGTTGGGTGATTGTGGTCAGATTTCAGATGCTGTAACGTGGAGACATTTGACCTCTGCACATTGCTAAAAGATGGACCTTAGGTCCCACACATCCAACCTCTGCAGCAGTGAGATTGTGCAGGACTGAAGCCTGCCAGGTTTGGCTAGCAGATTTCAGCCATGGAAACGTCCGTTTTTGCACCTGAAAGTTAAGTGGACGAGATATATCATCCTTTTTAGCAACCATTAAGAGAACCCCTAGAACAAAAAGCTTGCAATATTTCTGTGTGTGACAGACCTGTGGAGTTGCAGTTCTGAACTCACCTCCTTCATAGAGAAGCTTCAGCTTGATTTCTGAGAGAGGCTGCCTCCCCTAGCAGCAAGGTGATGCAGGCTGACAGCAGAAAGCAGCGTTCAGGCAGGCCTTCCTGAGGCTGGTGTGTTTTTGGCTTGATCACAACAGCTATCACAACTGGGTTTCCTCTGTGAAAAGCTTTTTTTTTTTTTTTTTTTCCCCCTCTCCTGTCCTCCTGTGCTAGGAGGGATCTTCTCTGCTCTAAACATAATAAAACAGTTTTGAGAAAAGTGTTTATGGATCTGAAACAAACTGCTTGAATCCAAGCTTGTGTTACCTCTTGGCAAACCCTGAAAGGCCTTGTTGATACATGTGATCTTTCACTGCTCTGAACCACAGCATCTTTGAGGCTGTCTCAACTTTTTGTGCTAAGTTTCCCTCGGTGCCCTTTCTCAGCATTCCTCGCTCTTCCCTCTCGAAGTCATAGTCTCTTCCTCATAAAAGTTGAGAGTCCTTGGCAGGTTATCCGTCAGCCTTGAAAGTAGAAAGACTGTGGTTAATCCATCGTACAGCAAAGAAATGGGATTGCTTTTGTGTAAGCAGCTCCTGCAGTTTCCTCCTTGCAATCAGGAAATTAGTTCATGTCTCTGAGTGACCGCTGGAGATCTGTGCTTGCACACAGGAAGTATCTGAGATTTGTAGATAGGTCAGAATTGGTACTGGCTCCCAGCTTTGCCTTTGTTCTGCTAAGCACTCAAAAATATTCACCAGAGATCTCACAATAGTATTAGCCACATCAGGGGGAAAAATCATCTGAGAAAAGCGAGACTTTGACTCTGCAGTGGTTGCTTTATCTGCTCTGGGATGTGGTCTGAATGCAGACACCCAGACCGCTCTGTGAACAGCAGTGCAGAATTATCTCCCTCAAACTTTATTGTCACACACTGCTCCGCAGGAAGACCCCAGATGTTTATCTAGAGCACAATAATAAGGTGATGTGATGACAACGTAGACCTCCCTGATGAATGGAGGCCGCACAGTATAGCAGCATGAAGCTGTGTGCAAGGTGAGGCCCAGGTGCAGGCAGGACTAGTGGGAGAATGTATCTGTTTCATGTAGGTGACCCATTTCTGGGTCTAAGATGGCATCCTTGTTAATCTGCCTTTCTGAAGTGGTGGACCATATGCTAAAAACATTTGCAGGGGCTGCTTGCTATCCAGAGATGGTGTTCCCCGGTGACGTCTTTGTCAGCATGATGAACAACCTCCACATCTAAAATTAGTGATCTCATGGGAAAGCGCAGGCACGTAGCAACATCCTGGAGTGAAGGGAGCTCCTCCAAGCCCATGAATTCCTCCTGAGTGCAGTCTGGGGTGCAGATGATGGCAGCAAAAAGTCCAAACAAAAATCTCTTGTTTGGAGAGAAACCAGAGCCCTAACTCCAAGCTCTGACTGATGCATATTGTGACAAAGAAGTCCTACTTCTCTCAATGGAAGTATAGTATCAAAGTGGGATCTCAGTCTTGTCTTTCTAGCTGTTGTGGGCGCACTATTTATGTGTGGTGTGAGCTCTCATTTGTCGGTGGAGCTGGCTCTCTTGATCTTTGTAATGTGGTGAAAATACTAGGAACATCTGAATCCCCACAGCAGAAGCTACTTAGGTTGGTTTTGTGTTAGGCCTGGGTATCCTTAAGGAAACACAGTAAATTATATCAGAAGATTTTGAAGTAAATTTTTGCAAAATTTGGGGACTCCAGATTGGCGATCTCTTCTCGTACCTGAGAGATGATGTGTCTTAGTTTTCACTTTGCAAAGCGCAGAGCTGTTTGGGTAGTGTCCTCAGGGATTTGTGACTCCGGATGAGCTTGCATACCCAAGTCCATCCAAAAGCTTTTGAAACAAAGCTCTAATATGAGACTTCCAAAATAGTGAGAGTTTTCTACAGCTTCTAGATTATACTTCAGAAGAGCTCAAAGGGTGCCTTTTATATGCCACAAAAGAGATGTTTTCAGAAGTTGTCCTTTGATAACTGACCTAAAGGTGAGCTGGCAACTGCTTTGAAGTTGATCCTAGAGTGAGATGAGCATGTGGATGAACTTTTGCCTGAGTAAACTGTGACTATTTATCTAACAGTACCTGAGGTTATTTTGTAGTACAGTATCCATGTGTGTATTCAGTAACTCAGCCTTCATTCCCATCTCTTTGGAGGACCACATTCCATGAGTGGAGGAAACCAGAGACATGGAAGATGTGCTTTAACATCTGGACAAAAATGCTATATTGAGCAAAAGTTCTTGAAATAAGAAGTTAGAGAGTAAACCTCAAAGGCTTCAGTTATAATAAGAAAAGCAGCTTCTGCCATCTAAATTGGGAAAAATGCAGGAAAAAAAACTATCTTTTTTTTTTTTTGTATGAGGGATTTCATTGATTTTATCATGGTTCGACCCTTTTTGGAAAATAAATCTGATATTTGATATTTTAAATAATGCAAGCTATGGGTAACATTACTAGGACTGAAGACCTTCCGTGGAAGTTATAAGCAAGGTGTAGATTGGTCTCAGAAATAAAATGTCAAACCATAGGTGGTGAAATGAAGCTAAGTGTGGTTTACATGAGTTTTCTAGTAGATTTTAGACAGTCCTAAAGCAATTCTTATAAACTCGGTGAGTGCTTTTGTCAAGTAACCTTTTTTTCCTCCAGTACCATGTTCTGAATGCCTTTCAGCTTGCAAATTGCATTAAGTTACTTCATTTACATTGAAAGTGAGAAGTCATCTGATTGTTATTTAGGTACTAAAGAAATCTTAAGGAATCTTTCTTTTTTTCATGCTTCTCAGGAATCGGATACTTCAGAGGAGAAGAAGAGCGTGCTTGTAGCAGCTCCAGCACCCACAGCTGCTAAAAGTGTCGTGGAATTTGCCAGTTCTTCACCTGCTCCTAAAAGGGCCCGGGAAGATAACAGCCTTGTGCCTCTTATCATTCCTGTGTCTGTACCAGTGAGAAAAATCGACTTGCAGAGTCTTGGCAAGGAGAAGTGTGAAGATGGGAAGCTCCAGAGAGGCCAAGAAAACGATCGTGCTCCTTGTGAACGCAAGCCCTCTGTGATAGTCACTCGGAGGCGATCTAATCGTAACACCAACATGGAAACCTCAAATCAGGTATGGGCAAGCTAAGGAACCAAAGATGAGTCAGATTCAGCTGCATGGTTTTTTATCCATAAGCTTTTCTGTTGTGACAGTTTGATCTCAAGGCTTGTGCTTGGAACGGATATAACGTGGGGACTTTGGTTATGCGTTGTTTTTATTTTTCTTTTGTATCATTGCTATGTCATGTTTAATATTTGGGTATCACTGCCTTTTCATGACCTATGCTAATACAGCAAGGAGTGCCCCACTGCTATGCAGTAGAGTAAATAAAGGCTGATAGTCACTAGAGTAAATAAGCCATGAGAGCAAACAGTGTGTCTGCATGATGTGTTTGAGTAAAGAGTGCTTTACTCTCAGTACCTACCTGTGCACCATTGTATTGTGGGGAGTGCTTCTATCTCTGTGTATGAGTTAAACTCCAACTGGAGGTTCATTCTCATGGCACTGAAGCCTCTTGCTGAGGTTCTGAAGGTCATGACTTTGGTGTTCCCCTTCAGTGTGTTCTTGAATGGATGAGTTTGTTTTATTTTGGTCTAGATTGGGGGTTTTTTTGTTGTTGGTGGTTTTTTTTTCTGTTTGTTTAAGCTTTTGTGTCTCCTCTAGTGAGGAATACAGTAGAATATTCTGATATCCAAAGAAGTGACAGTGTCAGGTATCCAAGGAGGCTTTTCTGCATTCAAATGCTTGACTATCTGAACAAGTATCATTGTACTTCTGTTATTTCTCTTATTACTATCTGGTGTCACCCTGTATTAGAGTTCTGCTATAATTATATGAGGAGAGAAAAACCATGGGCTCAGCATGATCCAATGTGAATCAAGCTGCAAAACGGTTTATTGAAACAGAGCCATCCCTCATGTACAATTTCCGTTCCCTGCGCGCGCCGCCGTATCGTCTCATGGGCTAGAGCCTTTCTTCTCTCTGGTTGGTTGTGGTCAGGTTGCGTCGGTCTTCCTTTAGGCTAGAACCTTCCTCGTTCCGCAGGTTCAAGGTGACCTTTTGGTCTGCGCCACGTGCTTACTCCAACGTCTCATATGGCTGGTTCATCGGGTGGCCATATTCCTCCAAGAACGACTCCACAATTATAGATGTCCTCTTTTAAAGTTAACATGAGGTCATCATTATCTGGTCCAAAAATGGGACCAGACGTGTGCGTGGGTATTGTAAAACATAACTTGGTAAGCACTCAGGTAATGTTACTGCCTGATAGGTCTTGAGTCCATTTCCCATCATCATCTTTACTCTCTTCCTTTGTGATAATTGTTGCGACTTCCCCAGCAGTCTGATCCAGATTTTGGGCTGCCAGGAACAAATGGTGCCATCTGACTGAAATTTCAAATGGTGCGAGATTTTAAAATGAAATCAAATGTGTAACATTTTTCTTCCCAATAGCATGAAGATGCAGTTCCAAAGGATGAAGCAGAGGGCTTTGCCCGGAAACCAAAGCAGCGTCCAAGACCTGAGCCACTTTTCATACCACCAAAAGCTGGCACCTTCATTGCACCACCAGTTTATTCCAACATTACTCCTTATCAGAGCCACTTACGGTCACCTGTCCGTCTGGCAGATCATCCTTCCGATAGGAACTTCGAGCTACCTCCTTACACTCCTCCGCCAATCCTTAGCCCAGTGAGAGAAGGCTCTGGGCTATATTTTAATGCTATCCTCTCTTCAAGTGGTCATGCAGTTGCACCTCCAATGACTCCTAAAAGTGCACACAGAACTCTGCTTAGATCCAGTAAGTTCTTTTTTTGTTTGTTTTCCCATTCCCCTCTTGAAGCAATAGGAGGAGGAGAATGACTTTAGAAAGTGCTGGTATGTGAAACCTGGACTTCTTGCTCCTAAGTTCTGAGCAGCTGGGATGGAGGAAATGCAAAATTGCTTCCATCTGGGGATGTATTCACAAGTACTCTGCAACACCCCCTAGTGACATCCTCAGGAATACACTTAATATTGGAAGTGTTGGTTCCTCTTCTATTGCATTAAAATAGTTTTTACTAAGATAAAAATGGTGACAGGAAGATAAGTTCTCTGTGGACATCTTAAATGGCTTTAGCAGATGACTACCAGTTTTGAGAGATGGAGAGCTCCGATGCGTTCCTCATGCGGCTAATAAATCTCTCCCAGATCTGAGCATGGGTTCTGGCTGAGCAGTTGTCTTCTTTGCCTTGCAGATAGTTCAGAAGTTACCCCTCCTGTTCTTTCAGTCATGGGGGAAGCCACCCCAGTCAGCATTGAACCGTAAGTACTCGCTAGCCTGGTAGTAAACATGGTTCTCTTCCTGCTCCTAAACCTCCAAGTTGCTCCCTGTGTGGTGATGCATCTCTTAGAAACATTTGAACTCTTCCTATTAGTGACTCAAAGTAGAAATTGTCTTTATTAAAAAATGACTTCACGCAGTAAGTAACGTTTATTTTGGGCAAGTGTATCTCATAATTCTGATGATGTAACCACTTTCTATGACTATGGATCTCTCTTTGGGCTGAAAAAGCATTAGCTAAAGTTATCTGAAGGTGACTGTACCCTCTTCAGCTGTGTATGAATACTTCTTTGTACGCTATGTATGTGCTTTAGGGTGGGGAAAGGATGCCCCTTTAGAGGAGGGGCAGAACACAGCCTGGACAAAGATAGTGGCACTCAGGTTGATAGCCCAGCTGCAGGCTATCTACGAGGTGCGTATCAGCTTTGGCACAACTGTGGGCACATCTTTGCTGCTCCTGGGCTAGCCCAGTCCAGCACAGCCACTGTCAGGTGACATGAGGCCTGAGCTCATGGCCCTCACGAGTCCCTTAGGTGGCTGTGTGCTCAGCAAGCTGCACAGGCCTGGACCCAGCTGCTTGCAGCATGGGGATCCTGCAGCTGCAGTTGAGAGCTTGGGCTCGGCGCCAGTCCTGCCCAGCTGGGCAGGAAGAGCAGAGGGGCAAGCGCAGCCCTTGCAAACCTCCTTGGAGGGGTGTCAGCTGGGGTGATGTGCTGCCGAACTGCAGCGACTCAGATGCAGCACCAGGTTAATGAGCTCCTGCAGAATCAAATCGTGGGGACGCGTGACACGGAGCCACCCACGTGGCATGAGGACGCCCATGTGGCTCGGCAGCGCTGATTCCGTGCAGCCAGGAGTCTCTGCTCCGACTTGGAAGCGTATCCTGCAACGTTGGAGATTTTTAGCTTCCTACACTATCCCCAGATAACAAAGAACAAACTTCTGTTATGGTTCTCCTGAAATTGCTTATATTTTAAAAATTACTAGCACACTTGCTGTCAGTTTATAGGGCTTTCTGCCCTTTTTTTTTTCCTTTTTGCATTTTTTTTTGCATTTTTGACAGCAAGCAGTCCTAAGCCAATGTTGAAAACAGTTCAGTTGCAATTGCAGATAAACCTGAATCATTCTTGTCACTTTTGAAGATTTCTTCTAGACCCCAACTCTGGCTTCTTGACAATTTAAACAGATATAAATAATTCCTAGGTTCTTCTCTTACATCGTGTCTTGCATCAGCACCATGATATAAGCACATTAATGGTCTTTAAAAACCAGCAGAACATTATTTTGTTTCTTAAAGCAATTTTGAAAATGGCTTGATCCTCCTGAGAGGGAATGAAGGAGAGAGGGAGGTAACTGAAGTAGATGGAGAAAAAAAACCTGTGGGCTTAGAGGGATATCACAGGAGCTGCCCCTTATCTTGAAGCTAAACTTACCACATGGAATTTGTAGGCTCATGGAGCCTAAGAATTAGACCTTGTACCTGCAGTGTCCAAAACAACCAGATTTGTACTGCAAGAGCTGATTAGTTACCTGAAAAACCTGATCTAATTTGGCTCTGCTCTGAGTTGGACCAGAGGACCTCCAGAGATCTGCTCAAGCTAAAATGTCTTACGATTCCTTTGCTGATGAAGCCCAGATTTCAGCAGAGCAAGACATCTTGCCTGGAGCACTGATGGGAGTCCCAGGGCTCTTCCAAGACACCCAGAAACAGGGCTGTGGATTGAGCTCTGCTGGAGCCTGGCCGGCTGAGTGAGCTGGAAACCACTAAGCTGCAGGGAGCAGGAGCTCGGGACATCGGCATGGGTCTGGGACACCAGCTGCCTGTTGCACTGTTTTGCAAATAGAGGGTTTAACATATTTCCTGTTCCAAATCTCTGCACCAAAATGACTTTGCGAGCAGCATTAGCAGAAGGTCTGGCAGAGAGCAAGCAGTTCTGAGCACAGTATAGGGTAAGCACAAGCTAAAATCAGCTGTTGACAGCCAAAAATAAAAACTAATACAGCAAATTAAATATTAAAAAAGTGTTTCCTGCCAAAAGCAGAAAAGAAAAAAAAAGTGAGAGCTCTGTGGATGGTCCTGAAGAAGAAGCAGCTACTTAAAGCAAGCGTAGTGCTCTTTGGATAGCACTTTGTGAAAATGCTGTCCTCTAATTCTGTACCTAAGCATGTGGAATTGTTGCCAAAAGAACGGGATTTTGTTTGGGTAAGGACTGGTTTTGATAACAATAAGTACAGACAGTCTTCATTGCTTTATATCCTTGGTTTCAGTAGTTTGAAATAGTTTCCAGAAGAGGTTAGTTTCTATCAAGATCCTGTGGGACCGAACTCTGAGACTGATGCGGCTTTGAGCAAGGAGTTGGACCAGAGTGTCTCCAGGAGTCCCCTTCAGCCCAAAGTATTCCAGGATTCTGTAGTTACGACATGTGAAACGTTAACAGTGAAAGAGGTTCTGCTAGTTGATGCATGAGGAACAAGTTCGCCACAAGAGTAATTTGTGTGGCAGCCTCTCAGAAAGCGATGGTTATTGAAAGCTAACTGTTCTTTTAGGAAATCGTAATTTAAACACTATTCCAAACATTATTGAGAAGACAGTGGAAACTGTTAATAGACTCTCACCTTTTTAGTCACATTTAGCAATTTAATGTAGAACATCTGAAATTGCTCTTGCTATATGCAAGAGCCTGCTGCATTTTGGTGTCTTTGTAGTGCAGGCTTTTAGCAGAGATGGAGACTTTCTGAGTGTTGTAATGGGGCCCTGACCATGACTTGTTATTTCTGCAGGCGAATCAATGTAGGAACCCGCTTTCAGGCCGAAATCCCCTTGCTCCAAGACAGATGTCTGGCCGCAGGCGATGAGCACAAAGCAGAGCTCGTGTGGCGGCCGTGGGGCGACCTGGAGACCAACAAAGTCACCCAAGAGAGCGGTAAGACTGGGGAAGGCTGGTTCTGAGCACTGGTGTCGTAGCTGTAGCAGGGGGAGCCTTTGAAGGCTACATGAAGTCGGCTGAATTTCAAGGAATGTTTAGACGTAAGAACATTTTGGAAAAATCAAGTTGCAGATGGAAGTCAGGGAAAAGAAGCATGAGTTGTGGTAGTTTGTTAGCATGTTGAAAAGTTGTCCTGGTGCCCATGGGCTATAGCATGGACTTATCCTGGAGGGAAGAGGAAGGGGGAAGGCGTGGAAGAAATATCTCGGATAAAAGAGAAGAGAGTATTGTGAAATGACAGGGATTTTTTTTAAAAAATCACAGATTAATAAAAGGGGATTGCAAGAAATCTCTGAAGTAGAGGAAGGAGAAGAGGAGGTTTGCAAGAAGCTGCAAGTGTGAACAGTGCAGCACCTGGCGTACCACTGTGCAACCTTGCAGTCTAATGGGTTCTTGTGTCCAAACTTGACGCAGATACATTTGCAAGGAGTCTCAGCTTCTCTGAATTTTATCTTCTGTTATGTCTAGTTCTGCTTCAAAAGAGCTAATTAATGGTGTGACTCGTGTAGGAACTACATTTTAATCTTCTTATCTGTCTTTGTTTGGTTCCTCTATGGAAACAGTGGAAAATCTGCTAGCTGCTGCGTGTTCAAGCATTTTTCCTGGGGCTGGAACCAACCAGGAGCTGGCGCTGCACTTCTTGCACGAAGCAAAGGGAAGCATTCTGGTGAGTCTTCCTGGCATTTTACGTGCTGCGGCAACAGATTTTACCGGAGGCCTGTCCCTTCCGATAAGGAAAGCCTTGCAAACTTCCTCCTGCATATCCAGCTCCCCCTCTTCAGTGTCCCTTGGTGATGCTGTGCTCGCTGAGGTGGCGTCTGCCCAAGGTGCAGTGCCATATTCACCTGCGGTCTTGCATCCCTCCAACTCGGATGTGTGGGGTGTTTTTTAGCAAGTAGACTGTTCGTCTACCAGGGTGAGTGAGTTGAGGCTGCTAAATGATGCTGGAAGGAAAAACAAGGGCCTGGGGCTGAAGCTGAGGCTTGCAAGTGCAGAGTTTTATTCCTTTTGCTTTGGGTAGAGCCACTTAACTCCCCTGTGCACAGCTGTGAAGCGGCCGTAGCTGTTAGTTTTGCATCAGTGTTGTGAGACGTGCTGTGCTTTGGCAGGATGCCGCTGACATCCCTGGGAGGTGCCATCGAGGTGCAGAGCACAGCGGGCAGCGCCGGGTCCCCAGCTTTTATATTCTGCGGTGGATTTACCTTGGCATAGGCCATTGCTGGAATCAGGAGCAGCCCCCACCCTCTTGCCTAGCTGCCTGTTTCTCATCCTCTCGAACGTGCTGGCACTGACGTGTGGCAATCAACTGAATATTAATCTCTTTTTTTCTTTCTTTTGTTTATTTCTGGGTTGATTTTCTGCTAGGTAACTAGTCCTCTATCACAACTGCTCTTGCTGGCGTTGGGGAGGAGCAGGGATGCCTCTTGCAGCAGAAGACCCTGGTTAAAGGGGTTTAAACTCCTACTGCAACCATGGCTTTGTTTTGCCCTGTGCCTAACTTGGAATGTACTTGTAACTGAAACTGAAATGTAAAGTAAAAAGGAGCCCGAGAGGTTTTTCTTTCTTTTTTTTTCTTTTGTTCCCTTTTGTCTAGAATCCTTTACTGAAATGACTGTTCTGTTTTATTTTCGAATTTTGTTTACTTAAGTGAGTTAAGATCACCATGACTTAGGTGTTTAAAAAAAAAAGATTCTTTGTTTAGGGCAGGTTTCTGGATGAGGGCATGTTACTTAGGCCTTCAATAGAGGAAACTGCTGTATTATTTATTCCTTGGGATTGGGTCTCTCCCAGCACTCTTGTGGCTGGGGGGGAAGGTGCTGATTCACAGACTCATGGAGACTCTTCATTTTAAATTTTAGGGGGCTTTGACCAAACTGCTGTTGAAGAGGCCAGTCCGATCTCCTACCCACCCTCTGGCAGATTATCACTACACAGGTTTGCAAACCACATAGCTCTGTGCTGCCTATCTGTCGCAGGGGCTTCTCCTCCTTTTCTACTCTTTTGGGGAACCCTGCAATGTCGCAGTAAAACACTGCTCTTTTCTCTGGTGAATCAGGGGGTGGCTGACCAGGAGTTTTACATGTACAAAGCATGATATTTGTAGCACAACGTAAAAAAAAATCACTGCAGGTGTCAGGATGCCTACAGAAATGTCTGTATTTGTATATATGTGTCTTCTGATCTCCTTCATGGAGAAAAGCAAATCTGATCGCTTATACTAAGCCCCAGAGACTGCCGAAGGCCAGCTAATAGGTAGAGATTGGCATGGATTTCCAGGGTGGAGCAAAGAGGGAATCCTACAGGAAAAGGGTCTGTGCTTGCAGAAGAAAGCTGGTACCTGCAGAGTGCAGCAACTCTCAGCATTGTTTTCACAAAATTTAAATGCCCTCAAGTGCCTCTGTGGTACTTGTACCTAGGGAGGAGATGGCTGCATGGCACTACACTCAGCAATCTGGAGCAACCCATGGCACCTGGAAGACCTAATGCGGCCTAATGGCTCCTGCCACAAAGCTGAACGTGACATTTCTTTGTTTTCCTGCGCTCCTACTGTAGTGTCTTTACTTGGGAAATATTTGTGAGGTAGGGGGAGATCCTGGAACCTGTTTGGTATTAGAGGCAAGGGTGCTAGGATACTTGAAATGTAATAAATCATCAGTTACACATAGCCTGGTGTAACTGTGGGTTGCTGTTGAAAGAGAAGATCCTGCCCTCCTGCCCCACCATTTCCCTCGTATTGAATTTACTGGCTGGGTGAGCACAAAGCATTTATTCAGCTTGCTGCTTTTCTGGAAAACCTCCTACTTCTTCTAATGGGCTGGTTTTAGCAAGTTCAACTGAGTTACTGTGTGGTAACGAGAGTGCCAGAACTGATAGCAGGGCAGGGAGGACAGGAGGGCTCCATGGAGCAGCTGGGGAGGGTTTAAGAGCAGCCTGCAGTTAAGCTAGGTTAGGTGTAATGAAGACTGCACCCGTATATATGCGTGTGGGTTTTGTTTGGAGAGAACTCAAAAGTGCGTAGAAAAGTAACCATGTGAAATTGCCAGGGCTTCAGTGTCGACTTCTTTGTCCGCAGGATCAGACAAGTGGAAAGTTGCTGAAAAGAAGCTTTTCAACAAAGGCATTGCAATCTACAAGAAGGACTTTTTCCTAGTCCAAAAACTTGTAAGTTCCCCTTTATTTTTTTTCATGATAGCAACTATAACCCTCATATGCCCGTTGAGCATTTAATAACAGCTCAGTCCTGCTTTTTCTGAAACTTCAGTGAGGTTGAGTCCTACACTCAGCAGATTTCAGAGAAGTTTACTGTTCAGTGCAGCGTATAGCGCTGTGTAAAGCACTGGACATAGTGAGGAAGGCAGTATGTGCACTGCTGTTGTTGTTTACCCCTGTACTTAATGCCTGACTTCCATTAGTCCACACAGTGCAGATGTCACTTAAACAAGGTTTATTTATAGAGTGCTGGTTATGTTCCAGTAGTGCTTAAATAGCCTGCTTATAAAACTTGATAGAGACACATCCTTGCTACTGATGAAAGGGAGCAGAGAAGGATATGTGGGTGAGGCATCCTTTAATATCCTTATTTCCAGCCTTCTGTGAAGATTAAAGTAGGGATGATAGTTTAATTAATATCTCACAGCTGTTTTCATGAGGTGTGACCCTTTGGGGTGAGGAGGAAGGATTGCTAGAGCACGAGAGCAGAATTTGCTTATATATTTCCTCTGAATAAATTCCCAAAAGGCATTTAGGTTTTAAAAGCCCAGAAACTAAGAATATCCTCCCAAACTTTCAAGGTATTGTTGCAGAAAATAAGTAAATGGTCACAGGACTGTACTGATAAGTATCTGCTACCATATGCGTATGAATTGCATGTGTCCAAAAGGGGAGAGCGCTGCAAACCTTCCTTGCCATTTTTGGACCGGTATTCTGGTCTGGTCGCCTCTGAAGCGCTGCTGGAAAATAAAGCTCTCCCATAAAACTGAAAGGCTGCCCTTGGGCTTGGCAGCGTGTTGGAACATTTCAGAAGTCAAGAGGTGCGTTAGGCTCGCGAAGTGCCACGTTCTGTCACCTTTACATTGAGCAGTTTTTCTTTGGAAAGTAAGTCCTGCAGTGAAGAACAGTGAATAGCACTGGAAGCAGGGACTGGGCTACGGGATAGGGCCTGCAGGAGACCATCACATGGAGGAGAAGGTTTTAATGGCAATTGCTGTGGAATGGAGACTGCAAGGGGAAAAAAATACAAAGTATATTTATTGTGTCTTTAATGCATCATAGTATGTATGTATTGCACCTCTAGTAAACAGATTATTTATAAGCCTTTATAAACTCCTGCAATCTATTGGATGAATGTGTTTTTTGAAACACTAGATAAAAACCAAGACAGTGGCTCAGTGCGTGGAGTTCTACTACACGTATAAGAAACAAGTGAAAATTGGTCGGAATGGCACCTTGATCTTTGGGGACATCGATGTTACTAATGAGAAGTCTATGAAAGATGAAGCCGAAGTTGACATCAAGGTAATTTCCTAAAATTCTCAGGCAGTGCCAAGTCTGACTGTGTGTTGCCCCACTTGCTGGTAAAGCATCAGCAGAAACAATCTGGCCTCTGTGGAGGCGTCCAATTCACAACCTTGTCTCCTGTGTCACACAGTGACATTTACTTGCATACAGGAAAATTAACAGTTCCTTTATCTTCTGGTGAAGAGTTCCCATAGGTTTGCACGTGTTCTTCCTCTCAGAAGGGACATTTTCAGTGAGGAACAAGGGCACGTGGAGGAGAAAGAGGAAGAGGAGGCAGAGGAAGGGTTGGATAACAGAAAGAAGAGCACAGTTCCCCTCAAAGATGCACAGACACTACAGAGTGATGAAACAGTAAGTGTTGCGTTGGGCGTGTTGTGCTTCCTGCAGTAGCTTCATCCTGCAACTGGTTTAGAAAATGGACAGTTACCACATGTAAGAAGTTCTCACCTTTGACTTTTCCTGATGCATGAGCCTGGGCTGGGGTCAGAGTATCATCAGCCACCAAATTGTGTGCTGTTCTGGGAGAGCTGTGATGAGCAAGGGGAGGAAACCCAATATAATTCTTAGTGGTTGGTGCACAAGATGGGACCATGATGAGAAGTGTCCAGAAAACATCTTGGTGAATTCATCATTAATAAAACCTTGTTTGGGATAATTGGCACGCAGCAGCTCAGTCACTGTTCTCCTGCTGATGGTGATTGAGTTTCAGATTTACCTCAGCTTTCTCCCCTCTCATCTCCCTGCGAAGGCCAATGATGATGATGATATAAGGAGTCAAGAGGCAGCCACCACAGGCAAGATTGCCAGGAGGCCGAGGGAGGCAGGAGCGAAGCCGCGCAAGCCGATTAACGCGCCAGTGCAGAGGAGGCGGCGCAAACAGAAGATGAAAACAGATGCTACCAATAAAACTCCAAACACAGAAAACACCTTTCCATGTAAAAAATGTGGCAGGTAAGAGGAATGTAGCTTCCAGCAACAGTCACAGAATGGCAGTAGGGCATTTTCTGTGAAAGCCCCTGCTCAAATGAGCAATTGAGCTTTCCTTCTGTGTATTTGGGGAAAGAATGGCAGTATAATGACTTATTAACCTACCGATACTTGTAGGTTAGTGCATTTTAGGTTTTGGTCTTTTAAAATTTTTATTTATTTACTTATTTTGCTTGCAGAGATGTGCACAGTCTGTCACCTCAGAGGTATATTGATGTTAAAGTGCTAGATGCTCTGTACTTAGACAGTAACCTGCTGCAGGCCATGTTTCTTCATACGAAATGAGATACCTCCTACATTTCAACTGTCTGTAGTAGTTGGTGCTAAGTTGTACTTGCAAACAGCTGCTCAGTTTCCCCTCTGTAATGTTTGCGTTTTTGTAATGAGCAATATCTGTAGATTTGCTTAATCCCATTTGCTTAATGAATGATGCTATAGAAACAGACCATTACCACTGCAGCAGCAGCAGGTTTTAGGCTAGTGAGTACCCAGTGAATCTGGTTACACCTGCAGCAGTTTTCTGTGTCTGCAAAGTATGTTTTACTTTCCTCATGTGGCTCAAGTGGTGTTTGTAGGTTCGTTGCCAGCAGTTTCATAAATGCCAACAAAGTTTAGCTCCCTTCATAAATTACTCTCAGAACAACAGTGAGTCCTGTAATACCAGAGTTTGTCCCTGGCATCAAGCTAGGGGACAGCAAGAAAATGAGGTCTCAATCCAGGTGTGCTGACTTACTGCTGCTGTGGAAAGGCTTTTTAATGGTGTCCAAACTTGTCTTGTGACATTCAATGCCAAATCAAAACAGTTAATGGGGAGAGAGTGAAGGGGCAGAGCATGGAGGTGCGGAGTGAGGCGGGAGAAGCTTAAGCGTTCTGCACTGTGTGGACGGGGCCAGAGCGTGTGTTGGCTGCTGCTTGCCCGTTTGTTGTATTTTTGCAGCAAAGGGGAAGTGACAAAAAAGATGGGGCCCTGTTGTGTGTAAGCAGCATGTGCCCCTGTCAGACACCAGCACTTCCCCCCTGAATTTGGAAGATTTAGGAGCTCGAAGAAACAAAGGGGAAGCAGCAGCGTTAAGAAACGAATGTGGTGGTTTGAGGGCGCTGGGGCTTCCCTGCGAGCACTCCCTGTGGCACACGCCAGGTCGGGAGCAGCTTGCTGTGCTCAAGCAGCAAGTCTCTGCGTTGGAGATGTCCCGTGGCAACGCCACCATGAGTCCCTAGGCTGAAGCTCAAGCTGGAGCCACGGAAGCTCCATGGGAGCCCTTGTGAGGAGGCCGTGCGGGACAAGCACTAACGCACCCACGTGTTTCCTCTGCAGGGTCTTCTACAAGGTGAAGAGCCGCAGCGCCCACATGAAGAGCCACGCGGAGCAGGAGAAGAAGGCGGCCGCGCTGAGGCAGCAGGAGAGGGAGGCGGCAGCGGCCGCCCACAGCCAGGCCCGGCGGGAGGAGAGCAGCGAGAGCGGGAGCAGCAGCGGCGGCGGCGGCAGCGGTGGCAGCTCCGATGAGGACGGAGAAATATAGCAGGGAGCCGGGAGCAGAGGGAGTAGCAAGGCTGGACCCAGTCTCCCTCGTGGTTGTGCTTCCTCGCCTGCACTTTCTCTTACCTGAGCTGCTTTGCAGCGGGGCTCGATTTCAGGGCTGCTGCTGCCTCATGCCACGTGTTCCACTTCGCCTTGCCAGTACTGACCAAGCCAGAATGGTGGATGAAAAGATTTGTTTCAACTTGGATTTTTTTTATTATTTTTAACAAACGAGATTTCTATTTTATTTATAATGCTATCTGAGGTACATAACAGAACAATGTCACCTGCAGTGGAAGCAAGTTCTCTCTCAGGTCAGCCAGACCTTCCCTTTGGCGCTTGCCAGGAGACATCGGAACAGTCCTCCTGGGTGTAAAGGTTTCCAGATGCTCTGCTCTGAGCTAGCTGTATCCAGTTGCTGAGACACTGGTGATTTCTAGATATTTCTTTTCTCAGCAAGTTCTCCTTCCTGTTATATACTTTTCTGTCTTTCTTTCTGAGAGCTTATTTGGGCTGCCGACAAGTCTTACAGAAAGATAATGGGCACTTCTGGCCTCTGCTTGACAAAAATGAGAAGTAGGATGAGCAAGACACCCTTCTTCCTTTTGAGATGAAGTTTTATTTTTCCGAGGGAAGCTTGAGGTGTTTTTTTCTTTTTTTATTGTGATGTTAAGAACGCAGAAATTGATACTGGGATTAGGGTAGCTGCAGCGCACGTGTAGGTTGGGTCTCATCATGGAACACAAGAGTTGGCCCTTGATTCACTTCTTGGAAAGTAGTCTGGGCTTCACCAAGTGCAATTTGAAACTAAAACTGCTGGTTTTGATTTTGCATGAATGGGAGCAAGTTTGTTTAGTGAAAATGAACCAAAACCTTGTGTGTCTGCTGCACTGTGTGTGCCTTGGAGATGGGAGGAATGGATTCCTAGGTCTGTCGGGCTCCTTACATCTCCCCATGAATGGCTCTTACCTCTCGACACACGTGTTTCTCCTGGCAGCCCTCTCTTATTTCTTCAAACGAGTGTCATCAGGAGCTGCTATAGGTGGGGCCCGGGGTTTCCGGCTCCCTGCGGACGGCAGCGTGTGCCTGTATGTACACACGGCGGGAGCTGTGCGTTCATTTCCGCACAAGCGATGGGGCGGCCCAGCTGCTGGGCTGCCCTGCCCTTTCCTCCACAACTGACACGAGCTGACAGCCAAAAACGCCAGGAAGCCGGGCGGCCCAGGTGACGCACATGGTAGATTTGCACAGGATTTTTCCGTAGAGCCTGCTCTTGCGGCTGTTTCCTAAAGAAGAATCACACTATTCCCGTGTCCTTCGCGGCTGGTCCGTCCCAGCGCAGGCCTCGGGCTCCCGGCACCCTCTCTGCCGCCAGGGTGCGGGGCCGCGTGTCCAAGCAGGCGCCCGCTGCCCTGCGTGCCGCTCCGGGGCGATTCAGTCCTGCCTTCCCAGCAGGACACCCTTCCCCGGTGGCCGGTGGCTAAATCCCAACCCTCCAAGCTGCTAGGTAAATCCGGGAAGCGAATGGAAGGTGGATGTGCCGGCGGCCCCGCTGCTCCTGCCCGCACAGTTTTTTGCAACTAGGGCTGTTTTGCTGTCAGCCTGGGAGGCTCTGGGTATCTTTCCCTGTCTTCTTTAAAACATATGCTGTTGCATAGACTCTTTTCTTTCATATCAGAAACAAGAATTGCTCTTACAATAAGTTGGAGTATTAGTGAGGACTGCACTCTTTAAAAGAAAGTCATCTTTGCCTGTAAATGTTGTATTTTCTGCCAATGCTGTATTTTTTTCATTCCTAACAAAACCAGTTTTATATCAATTTAGAGACTGAAAGACCAAATTCCAGTTGAGGCCTTTCTGTGCCATTGTGTAAAGCCGGGGCCCTTTCAGCATCTGAATGACAGTTTTCATGTCCCTGCACAAATTGGGAGCTTGTTGTCCAGACTCTGGAGGTAGATGGCACGTCACTAACTGTTAAAACCCATTAGAAAACTGTGAAGAGCTAAAAGCTACTAATCTTTAAACAGAAGCTTAACCAAATCAGTCTTTTTTTTTTCCTTTCATTTGTACATTGAAGAAAATGTTTTTTCTACCCAGGTTCCTTACAGAGCTTTAACACACAGTGCTGGGATGGCCAGTAGGTGAAGCAGCCTTATGGGCTGCTTGTTAGAACCAGGGTTAATTCCAGGAAAAACCAATGATGCAGTTAAATTCTAAGATCTCAAGTATGTTTCTGGGAAGTTGCCAGAAGTTGCCAAATCTTGAGAACTGCAGGGTAGTGCAGCAGTTCAGAAGAAAAGGAGTGGGACATGCGAGTGTTTCAACAAAACGAAGAGGCTTTGATGATAGCGTAGATGTTGCCGTAGTGTGGAAGGGAGCGCTGGCCTGGAGCACAGTGCTCCCACCGTGGAGTGGTGACCAGCGGGTCAGCAGAGACTGTAGGTGCCCGGCCACATGTGTCAAAGAAACAGAGATGCAGACTGGGAAACATGGCAAGCATGAAGGGTTTTTAGGTTGGAAAAGAGATCTCACTAAGCCTGAGAACTACAATAAGTTTAATCAATCTGTTTAGTTCATTGTCATTGCTAAAACAGGACAAAATCCTTTGGAAAAAAAACCAGCCTGGTCATGCTGTCCCGACATGGCAGAAAACGAGTACCTTTCTTTGCCTTTTACTCCTCGCTCTGTATCACGCCACTCGCCTTTACTATCTTTAGTGTCCCAAGGTGTGCCCGGGTGATAACGAGCAAGCCCCGTTGAGCGTCGGCCCTCGGCAGCCTGCACGCGGCGGCCGTGCTCCGGAGACGGGCAAAGCCACCGCGGGCGGCAAACAACCGGTGGAGAGGGATGAAGCACGTGGATCTAAGGAGCCAGTCACGTGATTGCTTTAAGGGACAGTTTCGTCTTCTTGTAGGCTTGGTGACGGTTCAGAGGAGGCCCTGCTCTAGTCTTCCTAAAGGCCAGGACTTTCACTGATGTTCCCTAGTCTGGGAAAGGGGTAGAAGGGTCATTTTTCCCTAATCAAGGTTTTGTGCTGATAAGAGCCAATGGCATATATATACTTAATTGCACAAAAAGGTGTATTTATTGCGCACTGATGAATCAGCACTGGTTGTTTCTCTGCTGCCACGCGGCAGTAGGAGCAGTAGAGGAGGAGCCGAGGCAAAAGGGCTTTTCTGACGGGTACCTCCAAGCACGGCGGGTTGGCAGGGCTGACCCGAAGCGGGTTAAGAGCTCCAAGTGGCATTAAATGCTCCATCTGGGATTGAAAGAAGATGCATTTTTGTTTCTAAACACCATGATGAATGCTTTGAACGGAATTAGCCTCATCCGGAGTGAACTCTGCTTCGCTTCCTAGCAAGGAAAATCCCCGAGTGGCTCTTCACCCCCGCACAGTGTCAGCTGAAGGCTGTTCAGTTAGGATTTAAAGATAGGACTCTGTGCTGCTCTTTTCCGTGGAAACACAGCAGAAGTCTCGCAGACCGCATGTCCACAAATGCCTGTGAATGATCTGACTTCCACGATGTGCACTCAGGCTCCAGGGGGGCTCAACCCTGGCAGTCAGGGGCTGCACTTCAAAACCGTTACATATTCGAGTTTGATGCAGGCACAGGGTATTGCAGAGCTGCACCGATAGACGGGCTTGAGGTTCAAGTGTATGTGACCCTGGTGGTGTGTTTGTGCCTGTGCTGTCTGCCCCTCCGAGCTGAGCTATGAGCATTCAACCTCTCGGGTTTGTGGTTTGCATGGGAGAGCATCGCGGTTTTGCACGACCGTGTGTATATAATTGCTAGATGTATGCATGCACTGGTGATGCAAAGCTGCTGTAGCTGCAGGTGTTTGGCTGTCCTGCACGAACAGCTCTGCGTTTACTTTATTCAACGTTATTCCATTTAAAGGCACAAGTGGGTTGGCTTAACAGTTAACACTAATCCAAGAGAATTTAGGTAAGTTTGAAGCCTACAGAATTTCAGTGGGCTGGGCAGGCCCTTGGTGCTTTAACAGCTAGGGACAGGCAGGAATAGCAGCAGGGCAAGGCTAGAAATCCTGAAGCTTGCAGGTAAATCATCTATTAATCCCGTGTTAGTGATGTAACGTGAAGCGCAAATTAGCTAACAGGGCGTCTGACGTATCTCGCTGAAGTGTAAGGCTGTTTCTCTCGACTGCAGTAACCCAGGTTAGACCGGGCAGCGGCAGGGCAGGCGCGGCGGTGCGGCTGGGAGCTTGGGAAGCTGCACGGAAGAGGCAGCGGTGTCCAGAAGCCGTGCGGGGCTTTTGTGGGGTGGGATCCCATGCAAGTTCTTCGCTTGGGTTCAGCTGCCTGGGTCGAACGTTAGGAAGACACAAGCTTTGTATCCTCAGCTGTCTGCATATTTTCTCTCTGCAACTTGGATTCCATTGACAGCTGAGCCTGTAAAATCCTCAACTTCCCAAGATTAGAAGACAACATATTTTTATAGAAATGCAATTATATATTTTAAAAACTTGTTTCCTGCAGCTTCTCCACATTTATTTTCCCCCTTGTAGTTGAGATTTGATATAGACTTTTTTTTTTGGTGTTCATTCTTTTTATGTTCTGTTTCTAAATTTGTAGTCAAAGCTACGGTGTACTGTACAGGAGCAGTCAGCCTTTGTAATTACTGTATAAATGCTTTATAATAAAGTATATTACTTTTATTTTAACAAGTGAGCAGACACTTCCTTTTGTGTGTTTGCTGCCTAGGGCACCTTTTAAATGACTGTTACATATTAAAAATGTACATATATAAATATACAAATATTTACCTGTTGCTGTACAGTTGTGATAGACTGGACTGAATTTATTTTTTGTGTGCTTTTTTATAAAAATATTAATACACTAAAGGAAATCTTGCTGATGTGATTGTAATGTACTATGTAACTTATTTACTTAATATCCTCTATATCTCTTAAAAACCCTTTTATTAAATGAGATTTTAAAAGTAAGTTTTAGCTGATATATATATTTTTTGCTTGTCCTTA